CATGGAAGTCTCCCCCCCAAAAAACCTTGCCCTATGCATCTCTTACTCAACATCCCTGAGTTGTATCCTTTATGATAAACCAGTAAATGTAAATAGAGTGTTTCCCTAAGTTCTAGCAAATTATTAAACCTGAGGAGGGGTCATGAGAAGCTCCAATTTGTAGCCAAATCAGATGGAAGATTTCAACAAATTTTTGCGGCACATAAACCTCCAGTCTATTACAGTTTCCATCAGTTTTATCAATATGAAAACCTGACCCTCCAAATTATGTTTATAGAATTCTTTCCATCAAACATATCACTAACCAATTTTGAACTACCCATACCCCAAGGAAGTTTGGAAGGAAGAAACAAAGAATCCTGTAGAGCAGGAGAGGCTCAAGACATAGGAGAGAATGGACAAAACAAATGGAATGAGATCCCATAAAAAACAGAGGGACTGGGCACAATGGCTCACACATTAGCACTCAGAGAGGCTGAGGTGGATGGATTACTTGAGGTCAGGAGTTTAAGAGCAGCCTGAGCAAGAGTTAGATCCTGTCTCTACAAAAAAAAAAAAAAAAAAAAAAAAAAATAGAAAAATTAGCCAGGTGTGGGTGGCATGCACTTGTAGTCCTAGCTACTCAGGAGGGGACTCAGCTACCACTGCATTCTAGCCTAGGGAGGAGAATGAGATTCTGTCTCCAGAAAAAAAGTAAAAAGGTAGAAAGGATGGATTTAGAATTCTCCAAGAAGCACTGGCTCTTTAACATAATAGAGAAGATGGATACGGATAAAAATACATTTGTGGATATGGTAGTAGGAAGTGGAAGAACACCTAACATTTTCTTTGTGAGTCATAAGATAAGATTTATTAAGAGTAAAGAAAGGAGCAGGTGGATTAAAGGTTAGAAGAGAGCAGAAGCATTTTCACAGTGAGTCAACTGACAAAACAAATGACGTGTGATTGCTAGATAGGCAGTCGATGATCATGAATAATCGTGCTACTGATCTGCTTGGTTTTGTGTGTTTCAAGTCAGGCATCTATCATACCTTTCCTAATTTCTTCAGCTTTATTTAATTATTTCTTTATTTGAGCCTCTAAGGCAATGTGTCTGTACTGAAGATCCTGTTTTTACTATAAAATCCTGCTTTATATTGCTTTATTTCCCTATAAAAAGACAGTATTTCTGCAAACAATGATGGATTATTCATCCTTGTCCCTAAAAGCACCTAGCACAGTTCTTTGTATAAAGTATTATATATTTTTACATTTGTTAAAAATATCATAAAAATGGCTAATTAAAACATTGAGTTATCTTAAGATCAAGAATCCACACATTAATCAAGAAAGATAAAATACACAGAAATTAAACTAAAAGACAATTTATAACAGTCAACCAAATTTATTTCTGCTAAAATAAATTTAATCCTATTATGAAGAGTAATTATTTTAATCATTCTCTGGCCTTGGAAATTAAAAAATGGTGATCCAGAAACAAATCCCACAATATGAGGATATAAAAATCAATAAAAATCAGTATCATTTTAATGACACATCTCAGTGATTCAGTTCAGCAGGAATCAGATAACTATTAACCATCTGAAAACACACACAGAACTTTCTTTCCAGACACTGATTGCCATTACCAGAACATTATGGTTTAATGTTATTGATTGTAATCACTGCTTTCAAGGATATTTTCTACAGATGAAATTTAAAAACCAGTAAGTAGCCAAGTTTAAAAAAAATCCACCCTAGGAAATCACTAAAATTTAGGTAGCATTCTTCTTCAGATAATTTTTTACCCACAAAATAAAATCCAAATTTGGAAAGGTTGTATTAATTCTTTTAGTATCTTCTTATATCCTAAATTTGTACTTCAAAATGGACATGGTACTTCATATGTGCCCACTTTCTCTAAACTCAATGTTTCAGCCAAAACTGCAAACATCTGAAATTTAATTTTGAATAAAAATGACAGCTTATTCTTCAAGAGAACATTAGAAATTGTCCTCATAACTATCGTAGACAGACATTTTATCTGATACTTTCCTCAGTATATCCAACCATCCATGGAAAGGAAATAAAAATTTTTGAAATATTTATTACTGCCATGATATGAAAAGTTAAAATTTATTAAAAATTTCTGAAATCCTTAATGAATAAGCAAATATTTAATTAAACAAACAATGGAATTTTTGGCTGGGAAATAAAGTTTCCCCTGGCTATTGAGTATTTTAGTATCAGAGAAATTCACACAACTATATTCAAACAGAACAGGTTATTTTCAGATCATAATTACATAACAGATGTTCAAAATCCCACTAGTTCCTTCTTAACAATTTGATAAGAACTGGAAATGATATACTTCGCTGGTCATTTCTCTAGGAGTTCTGCTTTAAAAAGTCACATAAAATCAAATGAAAGCCAAATAATGGTGTTATATTTTGACATAGGCTGCAGGTATTTAATAGTATTCATCTGAAGTATATTAAATATGCTATTAAGGATTAGTATGTGCAAACTATCAGCTATTAATAAGAATCCTTCCATGGTTTCCTCTGGTCGCCCAGTATCATTTCGCTCCATTCTCCTTGTTACAAGTGAGTAAAGGTCAAGAAATGCCTAAGCAAATGTAGAGAGGAATTATTTGGGGATAGTATTTAAATTTTTTTTTTTTTTTTGAGACAGAGTCTCACTTTGTCCCCGTCGTAAAGTGCCATGGAGTCATAGATCACAGCAACCTCATCTGGGCTCAAAGTGATTCTCTTGTCTCAGCCTCCCTGTTTGCTGGGAATACAGGTATCTGCCACAACACCCAGCTTTTTTACAAATCCTATTTTGCTAGGATTACAGGTGTGAGCCACCATGCTTGGCCTAGTATTTCATTTTTTATAACCAGCTCCTAATGTATTTCTTACCATATGAGTATCTAATAACGAAGGGATATATTTATTTATATTTCCATATAAAGCTTCAAGGAAACAATCAGCATATCAGCTATGTTCACTACCTGAAATAGGCTTAAGTAAACACTAATTAAAACATTCAGGATCTTAGTTGTATCAATACTTCTGTACTAAAAGGTCTTTTAAATGAAAATATTTTCTTTTTGTTATTTTCTTTACCTAGGATTCTAAGAAACCAAGAAGTCACAGCTTTTCATCAAGTTCCACATTATACACATATTGTAAGAATATTGAAAATTAAATAAAATGATTAAAAATTTAGTTAAATACATGACTATATTAAATTTAGGAAGTGAAAGCATTAATAGAACACAGAAAACTTCTGAAATAAAACTCTAAATTTTTGGAAAAGCCTGTTATTTATTACCTAAAAGCCAAAAAATACATTTACTTCTTTAGTACCTATATTAAAACAGTTGCATTTGCAGAGGATTTTTTAGGGCAGTGAAGCTACTATATAATACATTACAATGGTAGTTACATGTCATCATACATTTTTCAAAACCTACAGAATGCATAACACCAAGAGGCAACTCTAAACTATGAACTTTGGATGATAATGATTTATAATTTATCACTGTCCTACCACTCTGGTGCAAAATGTTGATAACTGTAGGAGGCTATTCATGTGCTGGGAGGAAGGTGGTATATAGAAAATTTCTGTACCTTCTCAATTTTGCTGTGTAAAACTGCTCTATAAAATAAAATCTGACTTCTTTTTGTTTGTTTTTAGAAAAAACAACTTTAAAAAATTGTATTTGTAGGCAGCACCTGTGGCTCAGTGGGTAGGATGCCAGCCCCATATGCCGAGGGTAGTGGGTTCAAATCCGGCCCTGGCCAAACTGCAACAAAAAAATAGGCATTATGACAGGCACCTATAGACCCAGCTACTTGGGGGGCTGAGGCAAGAGAATCACCTAAGCTCAGGAGGTGGAGGCTGCTGTGAGCTGTGATGCCACAGGACTCTATTGAGGGCAATAAAGTGAGACTCTGTCTCTACAAAAAAAAATTGTATTTGTCTTAAAGGTTCAAAACATTAACATATAAGGTGATTCCTCTTAAAAGTCCATGTGAGTACTGAGTAATATGCCATTTTAACAAATCTAAAACAAAAATATTTCAAAATGTTCAGTGGGAGAAGTACTTGTCAACTCTACTGGTATCATAAAATCCAGGCAATAGAAGCAAAGGGGATGTAAAATATTTACATGTACATTTCATAGCTTGAGGAAATGGTACTCAGGAAAAGGAGAATTATTTATTTGGGAAAATTCTGATAAGATACATAGAATATAGGAGCTGGAATGAAGAGCAAATGCTTATGTTATAGCAAGGTATAATATATACTTTGGGCCTAAAATATCACCGTCTGTCTCTTAGCATATGTATGACAAAGTAAGAAAAAACAGAAAAATGAAAGACCAAGAATATAGAGCACTCTGTCTACTTACTAGCAAAAATAAAGTCAAATTTTCCAAGATCAGGGATAGGGCCATTTGTTTCTCCAAAAAGCTGTTCTTTCTAACCAGAGCTCTTACAGCCAACTAAGCTGAAAATTGTCTCCATATACTGAGTTCTAATAAGTACCTGAACAAAAAGCTGCAACAGAAAATATTTATTTGTTACACAGTATTCTCAGGTATGGTTATGAAAAAAAAATGTGGGAAAATACTAAAAAACTGTGGATTATAGAACAAATAATTTAATAAAACTAAAAACAAGGAAATGATTATCATAAATTATTGAATTTGCTATTTAAACTCATTTAATTCTACTGATTAGGATGGACCATATAAATGATACTTTTATTTCAACTCCAAATAAAACAAAATGTAAAATATTTGAGGAAACAAAACAGCAAAATACATTTGTTCTGGGCTTCTAATTAACCTTCAACTTTGTGGTTTTCATTTATTCCTGCCAAATGTAGTTTGCTAATTCTTAAGTTTCTTGGAGATAAATAGCTTATAAAGTTGCAATGTGATTGAGGTCCTATGGATAAGAAATTATAAATACAAGGTTCAAACTTTCCCTAAATACAGAAAATAATTGAAATGGTTCAATTCATTTTTGCTGAGAGAAAACAATAGATAGCAAGAGGTAAACAGAGGAACTAAGATCTAATCAATAATGCCTAGCCCAAATGTCTAATAGCATTAACAGAGATTTGATAGATGAAGTACTAAGCTATGAATATCTAGGTAAAGTTTAAAAAACAAAAGCAAAAACATAACAAAGAAAGAACTATCTATGGTTGATATTCTCATAGACTTTGTAATTTATTTAGTTGCCCTAATAATATTACCTTCTTACTATCTGTTTTGGTAGTTTTAAAACATTTCCTTCACTTTGAATATCTGATAAAATCATTATCTTTTCCATCAAGTTTAGTTTTCTATCAGATCCATCATATACTATAATTATGACCTATAATAAAATTTAAAAATGTATTGATATCTCTCTTCTCATTAGTAGCAAATTGAAATCGTAGGTCTTCAAAAAGACTGTCAAGTTCTTCATCAAATTCATGTGTGTAGGTCTCAAGATGGATTTAATTTGTGCCACTTGATAACAACCTTTTCTGGATTTATAATTGTCTCTTTCCACTGGTTCGATGCTTCAATGTTATTACTGTCTTCACTTACCCAAATCTGTAAAGGAACAGTACAATCACTTAACTTGATGCAATAATGATAACTGAGTTCAAACAGTTAATTATTCCTATTGATAAAGACATTTGGAAGTTTGAATTACATATTTTCAATTTTATATGATCCAATTAAATTAAAAAATTCTGGGTGAGAGATTATAAAATCATTTCCCCTGGAACAGTTATTAGTATCCTTTCCTAGTCAAAACATCCAAGAACTCAACTTAAAACTGATCCCAACCACTCAAAAACATCTTTGTGAAGATTAACTAGACTAAAGTTAATCATGACTTAGATTAGTAAGGAATATACATTTTAAAGCACCGTTTATATTAAATAAACTGTAATCTTTGGGGGGGGGTTGACACAGAGTCTTACTATGTCACCCTCAGTAGAATGCCATGGCGTCACAGCTAGAAGCAACCTCAAATTCTTGGGCTTAAGCAATTCTCTTGCCTCAGCCTCCCAAGTAGCTGGGGGACTACAGGCGCCCCCCACAGTGCCTGGCTTTTTTTTGTTTGTTGGTTTTTTGTTGTAGTTGTCGTTGTTTAGCAGGCCCGGGTCAGGTTCAACCTGCCAGCCTCGGTATATGTTGCGGTGCCCTAACCCTGAGCTACGGGTGCAGAGCCATAAACTGTAATCTTAATTGAAATCTAATAAAAAGTCACTCTTGATCAACTGTAAGTAATTTCAGAGTGTCTACCACTTATGTAACTAATACTAATTTTGGGAAAACTATGTGTGTGTATGTCTCTGTGCGTGTGTGTAATATAAAATGCAAATGTAAGGCATCACAAGGTATACATCATGAAGATGAGGAGGACAAGAAACCAAAACAACTCTAATTCTCACCTCAGCTTTAGCACTAACAAATGCTGTTACCTGGGAGTTAACTTCTCAGAGATTCCTATTTTAATACTTTTAAGTAAAGAGTTTGGAGGTCATTGGTTTTTAAACTTTTTCCTTCTCCTTCTTGGTTTGAAGAACCTTTACTTCATATGAAATCTTACGAAGAACCCCAATATATAACAGACATTAGAGCATTGGTTGATACAGGGTTAGGAGAACGTGAATCCACATTTGGTTATCCCATCATGGCAACTAAGGCTACTATGTATGTAGATAAACCATAGGGAATAGATGACCAGCAAGAATCTTTCCAAAATAATTATTCTAACTAGAATCTCAACCAAGAAAACAGAATTACCATAAAAGTTATCCTGAAAGTGGTCTCTCACGTAAATTTCCTATTTTATTTGTATATGATAGTGAGGCTTGATAATGTAGGAAAACTTTAACTGAATGAATTCATAGGCCTCATGGCTATCAAAACTATGCTAGTTATATTCTTGAGTTCAAACTCTAAAGAAAAAAAAACAACAAAATTATAACATTTTAAATTGATATTTTAGGTAAAATATATGGAGTAGTGTATCAAGGAGTTGATAATAGTCTTTAAAATTTTGTATGTAATTTGAAGATGTAGACTGTTAACATCTTTGTTGTCAGGTGGAAGCTTTTAAAACTAAGAATATATACTCAACTGTAATTAAGATAAAAGATAATGAATGGACAGCTACCACTAGTTCATTCAGAGTAAGGAAAGAAAACACAAAAGGAAACAAATTATCTTGTCTTACACAAACTGTATGATTTTTTAAAATAGATTATCCAGACACCAGTATTGACTATTTCCTAACAAGTTTTTAAATAGATTATCCAGACACCAGTATTGACTATCTTTTAACCACTGCTAAAATTGGAATTCAAATGTAATGTAACTAAGTTTACAGTTTATAAAAAGTACTCCCATTAAACATTGAAGATGCAAGTAAATATGATATCCAAAGCCTTAAAAAATTTGACTTTAAATACTTAATGTTTCACATTCTATAAGGAACAAGTTAGTAGTACTGAGAAGCTGATCTTTCTTATACTTTTAAATGTCAAAAAGCTCAAAAAAGACATATGTAAAGGCAAACCCGATTACTCAGAAATTCCAACTATTTGCTAATGAGCAAAAAGTCTGACAAGATTTGATTTTTGTGGTAACACTGAATTTTGATTTGTGATGATAAAGAATTTTATTCTATTTAACTTCAAAATTATTCTATATTCCCATTATTAACCAATTGTTTAAATGCATAGAAAAATACAAGGAGAGAAGGGAGGGGGGAATGGGTGGAGGGAGGGGGTTTAGAGGGATCACTTCTGAGGTTTTTCTTATAGGGGTACAGGTGAATCTTTCTAAGAGTAGAATGTGAACGTTTTAAAGCAATAGCTGAGAAAATGACATGAAGGCTGTGTTGACCAGTTTGATGGAAGTATTTCAGATTGCATGTGAAAACCCCACACTGTACCCTAGAAGTGCATTAATGTACATAGTTACCATTCAATAAGAAAAAATAAAAAAAAGAAAAAAGAAAAGAAAAATACAAGGAAGAAAGTCAAGATAAAAACTACTAACCTGGCCCACAAAGTGTTTTCTTCTTACAGAGCTTCGACTATAAAGCTTAATGAGAAAAATAATTTCTTTTTCATTCTGTATAAGTGGAAAAATCATAGTCTCTCCCCACTTTACTCTTCCATTGGAGGCCTTTAGCAAGCGTGTCTTCTTCTTATAAATCAACTCTCCAGAGCTAAACATTGCCACCTTCACAAAAAAACCTAAATCATGAAAAATTTGATTTATAAAATTGTATACAAGATACCACATAAAGATACATTATCTGTATATTACGGGGTTTTTTTTGTTTGTTTGTTTGTTTGTTTTGTCAGGGCCAGGTTTGAACCCACCACCTCCAGCACATGGGGTGGCACCCTACTCCTTTGAGCCACAGGCACCACCCCTATATATTATGCTTATGGTAAAACAATTCTGTGTGATGATAGCTCATCAAACCATAAGTCACTTTTAAAAGTTTGATGAGCTATCATCACACAGAAAACATCTGTAGACAATAACTTTTACCAAACCTTACAAGTAACCTTAGTAACCTTAAATGTAGGCATAAATAATAATAAGTAGTTAAGGAGTACACATTAAAAAGAATTACACTAAACAGAGGCACCAGATCTTTGGACAGCTGGAGGTATTTATTTCACAATATTATACAGATAAAATTTTCACGTAAAAGTCTCATGCAAAAAATTTTACCTGAGACTCTAGAACAGAGGTTCTCAACCTTCCTAATGCTGCAACTCTTTAATACAGTTTCTCATGTTGTGGTGACCCCCAACCATAAAATTATTTTCATTGCTACTTAATTTAATGGTTGGGGGTCACCACAACATGAGGAACTATATTAAAGGGATGCAGCATTAGGAAGGTTGAAAACCACTGCTCTAGAAGTAAAATATATGCCCACTAGAAAAAACTGATTCTTTAAATAAATTTGAGATGCAGAGCTCCCAGTAACGATAGAATTGCTTGTATGAACTCTTTCCATAAGAAACAAATATAAACTTTTGAAAAAATATTAAAAACACACTAAAGACTGACCACAAACAGAAACTGGAGGGGAGGCAAATCTTAAAAGACAGAAACTTCGGCTGGGCACAGTGGTTCACGCCTATAACCCTGGCACTTTGGGAGACCAAGACAGGTGGATCACTAAAGCCCTGGAGTTCAAGACAAACCTGGGAAACATAGACCCTATCTCTACAAAATGTAAGTTAGCTGAATGTGGTGACGTGTACTTGTAGTCCTAGCTACAGAGGAGGCTGAAGCAGGAGATCACCTCTAAGAGTTGGGGATTTCACTGAACTATGATCACACCACTGTAGTCTTACCCTAGATGCCAGTGAGACCCTATCAAAAAAAAAAAAAAATGCTGGGGACTTCACTGAGTAAAATTCACCTAAGCACCCTATCTGACTGACACACAATGCCTACAACTCAAGCAGAAAGAGCAGTTTGACTAATTTGAGGTGACAGAGCTGGGGCTACCAAGACAGCAAGAAAGGAGAGAACTGCCAGAAAGTAGGGTGTCACAAACTGAGGAGCTACAACCTTGCTATTAGATTTGTAAAATGGAGACCACTAGTAATCTTGATAAATTGTTTTAATTGAGGTGGGCCACCTGTTACTATAATAAATTGCATCTGTAGATTTCTACTGTTGTCTTTGTTTCCTAGAATTAACTATAACTATTCCTGGTTACTTATTCCAAATTGAATTTCATTTGCTTATTTCTATTTTAGAATTTTTCTATCTATCTACATAAGTGATGTTAGTCTACAGTCACTTTTATTGTGTGCTATCCATTCTGTTTTGATATCAAGAATATGCTAACCTCACAAAAAATTTTTTTCATATTTCCTTTTATGCTTTGGAATTGCTTATATAGAATAGAAATTATACATTCCTTGAAAGTTTGGTAGAATCTGCCAGTAAAATTACATTGGCCTAATTCTTTAATTAGAAGTAGTTCTTTACCTTTTTATAATCATTCTTTTATTCAGATTTCTTCATCTTAAATTTCTTACAAAATTGTTTATTTTACATAGATATTCAAATGAATTAGCACAGTTATATATAAGTACTATCTGATATATTATAGAATCTCTTCTGAATCTGTGATTATATCCTCTTTCCTGCTCAAAATACTATTCATATTTTCTCTATTTTTTGCTTAATCTAACCTGCTATCAATTTGTCTATTTTAATAATTCTTTCAAAAAAAGTTTTTGATTTTATTGTCTTTTGTTATTGTTTCCATATTCATCAATTTCAACTTTAGTTTTACTACCTTAATTCTACTTTCCTTGTAATTTGTTATTTTTCTTACTTCTTGAATTGAACACTGTTTCATTTAGTTTTACTACCTTAATTCTACTTTCCTTGTAATTGTTATTTTTCTAACTTCTTGAATTGAACATGTTTCCTTTTTAGTCTTTCTAGTTATAGTGAAAATTCATTGCTTTTGCCTGCTACCAGATAGTTTCTTTCTTTTAGTATGAAAAAGGGGCACTTCTTCCTCACTCTTATCCTTTAAGTAGGACTGACCTCAAACCTGTAGCTCTATGATTGGCCAAGTGAATCAGGTCTAGACAATCAAACTGGTGGTTATGTTTAAAAATACAGGTAAACAAAAGTGTTTCCAGGTTTGTTCTTGATATTTGGGGTATTTTACAATTAAGTTTCTAGTTAGCAGACATACAATTGAGGGCATAGGCCTAGAGAAAGGATAAATTATTTAGGCTGATAAAACATCTGAGAATCTTCTAGACCAGGGGTCCTCAAACTTTTTAAACAGGGGGCCAGTTCACTATCCCTCAGACCATTGGAGGGCCAGACTGTGGGCCCCAGGATGAGTCGGCTGCTAAGCAAGACAGGCAGCAGCAGCAAAAACACCCAGCAGGCCGGATAAATGTCCTAGGTGGGCTGGCTGCATGTGGCCCAAGGGCCGTAGTTTGAGGATGCCTACTAGACATTCAACCTGTATGAACTGATGAGCTAAATAAAAATCAGTATCAAATGCAGAGAAGTCACAATTGGCAAAGAATTGAGAGACCAATAGATTTAGGTAAAATGGCTAACTTTTGAATCTGACAAAATAATTTTAAAAGTAAATTAAATATTTGCATTAAATGATAAAGTAACTAAAATATCAATCTCCATTTCAAGAAATGTAGAAAAAAACTTTCGATTACTAATATTTTCTGAAAATTTCACTGTGACCTACTGATATACTTACTCAAAGTCAGAGGTGTTGAAGAGATTGGAAGGTACTGGGCCTCAAGAATCTGTAACTGAATCCTGCTATTTACTGCCTGAAAACAAGTCCCCAATTCAAGTTCTGCATGGCAAACCTGCATATCCAAAAAAAGTATTGTTTGGTAGGTAATTTTGGAATATTTCAAAAATTCAAAAGCAAAAAGCTGTTAGAAAATTTGAAAGCATTGTTTTCTATTGACACTCAAAGCCTTAAAAAGACAAAGTTAAGATGATAAATATCATAGTTTTTTTAAAATATAAGGTATTAATTTCCATGGATTCTGAAAATACACATTATGCCAATGTATAGGACCTTCAAAATTAGTCACATCAAAAAACAATTCAAATTCAAACCAAATTAAATTCATTAACAGTATTACTGGGAAAAAAACAATGAAATTAACACAAAGAACACACTTTCAAAAGAAATAAATCTAGTCATCTGAGTTACTTATTAAGAACAATGAAATATAATAAAAACATTATATATGAGAATCACTATTTTATCTAATTATAGAAATCAAAGACTGATACGGTGGCTCATACCTATACTCCTAGCACTCTGGGGGGTTGAAGTAGGAGGACTGCTTGGGCTCAGGGGTTCAAGACAGCCTGAGGAAGAGTGAGATCCCATCTCTACTAAACATAGGCATGGTGGTACATGCCTGTAGTCCCAGCTACTTAGGAGGCTGAGACAGAAGGACCACTTGAGCCTAGGAGTTTGAAATTGCAGTGAGCTATGATCATACCACTATACTCCAGCTGGGGCAACAAAGTAAGATATTCTGTCTCCAAAAAAAGGAAAGGGAGGGAAGGGAAGGACGGAAGGAAAGCAAGGAAGACAAGGAAGGCAAGGAAGGAAGGAAAGAAGAGGGAAAGAAAAGAAAGAAAATAGAGAGAGTAGATGCTACCAAAATCAGAAGACAAAGGATTACTACAATAAACAGAGTTGTGGGTTATGGAGTGAATTACTGAGCTGAATGAAAGCAGGCCAGAGAAAGCTGGCAAAAAAGAAACTAGTCAAAGTGATGAAACAGTAAATAATAAGGGAAAGGTCAAAGAAAACCTGAGGCAAATATTAAAAGGAGGGAGACTGAAAGAGGAGGGAAAATTAAAATGTGCTTTTCAGTACTGCTGACCAACAGCAGAACCTCAGCAGTCTGTCTGTGAAATACAACACAAGCCAGACTACTTATGTAGATTCCAAGGTCCTTGGACTGAAAAATAAAAGAGAAATATAAAAGTTGCCCAAACACAAAAACCTTACTGTTCACATGTTGAAAAGAGTAAGAACGCAAACAAAGCAAGAAGGTAAATGTTTATAGACCTTACTAGGGCTCGGCACAGATGCAAAGTTTTTGCTAGTACTGATTAAAATAAAGTTAAAGAACTGAACAACTTTATGAAGAGGTTTATAATCAATAGTTGCCCAGTATTCCCCACTAAATGCCTCATGGCCCACTGAGAAAAAAAGAAAGGAAAAATAAAGAAAAGAAAAACACTTTTCAAATAAATAATATTGACTTAAGTTTGAGCATTTTCTTAAAACAGGTTTTTTTTTTGAGACAGAGTTTGTTTTGGGGGGGGTTGTTTTTTTGAGACAGAGTACCACAGCAACCTCAAACTCTTAGACTGCGGGTTTGTTTTTTTTGAGACAGAGTACCACAACAACCTCAAACTCTTAGACTTAAGCAATTATTCTCTTGCCTCAGCCTCCCAAGTAGCTGGGACTATAGGCGCCCACCACAATGCTCACATATTTCTTTTTGTTGTTGTTGCAGTTGTCATTGTTGTTTAGTAGGCCTGGGCCAGGTTCGAACCGACAGCCCCAGAGTATGTGGCTGGCACCCGAACCATTGATCTACAGGCACTGAGCCAAGGTTCTGTTGGGGTTTTTTGGGTTTTTTTGTTTTTTTTTTTTTGAGACAGAGTCTCAGTTTATCACCCTCAATAAAGTGCCATGCCATCACAGCTCACAGCAACCTCCAACTCCTGGGCTTAGGTGATTCTCTTGCCTCAGCCTCCCAAGTAGCTGGGACTACAGGTGCCCACCATGATATCTGGCTATTTTTTTGTTGCTGTTTGGCCAGAACCAGGTTTGAACCCACTACTCTCAGTATATGGGTCCAGCGCCCTACTCACTGAGCCACATGTGCCACCCAGTTCTGTGTTTTAAAATTGGTCATGCATAAGAGATCAAGAGATGGACAAAGAAAAGTTAATTGCTGAACAAATATAAACTCAATGATTGAGCTTAATTCTCCCTTGAAAAGAGTCTAAAATGAAGATAAAATTTGTTATTGGCAACAATGCAGACTTCAAATGCTTTTGATTTTAATCAAATAAGAATGTATTAAAAAAATTCATATAAACTAATTTGGTAGCCATATATAAAATAAAACCTTTGCTGATTAAAATGAAGGGTTACTATCCTTGGCAATTTAAAAAATACATTTTAAAAATTAGAGTCCTGGCCAGCTTGGTGGCTCATGCCTATAATCCTAGCACTCTGGGAAGCTGAGGCAGGTGATTGCTTCAGCTCAGGAGATTCAGACCAAGAGCAAGAACCTGTCTCTACTAAAAGAAAACAAAAAACTAGACAGATGTGGTAGGCATCTGTAATCCGAGGTACCTGGGAGGCTGAGGCAAGAGGATCACTTGCACCCCAAAGACAGGTTGTTGTGGGCTCTGATGATACCACTGTACTCCACCCAGGGTGACAGAGTGAGACTGTCTCAAAAAAAAAAAAAAAAGCCAGAGTCCTGACTAATATAGCAAGAATGCATCTCTTAAAAAAGGGGTGGGGTGGGGGCGGCAAAGGCAAGATGGCAGACTGCAGTCAGCTTTTTACAGAGGCTCCCGTCCAGAAGGAGACTTAAAGGACAGAAGTTTAGCAAGGGAGCTGATGCTCTGTAGCAGAGCCGAGTAAGAAGATTGAAGAACAAATTTCAACCCTGCTGAGGTGAGCTTCGACCCCAAAAATACAATCAAAAGGTACAAAATCTACCACCAAGCGGACAGGAGTCCCCTTCCCTACAAGAAGGGTTCACAGTATACTCCATATAAACAAGCGAGAAGAGTTCAAACATCCTCCCACTCTATCCCACAGGAGAGACCCCCTAAAAACTGGACCTCCTACCCCTAATGGCATGCCACGGCACCCTCCTGCCAGGCATAAAACTGTATAAAACTGTATATATTCCCTACCTGCAACTCTGAACTCTGAAGATTCCCCCCCACCCCACTCTCACCCCAAGGTCTGGAGGTTTCTCACCAATGGAGTCCAGAATCTTGGGCATTTCCTTGAGAGGAATGGAGGGGAAAAGGGCTGGTGCTGCTCTGTGCTGACTCTGTGGCACGGAAGCGAGGAGAAGAACCTTGTCTCTGAGGAAGCCATACAGGAGCTGTAGTGTCCTGAGCTGCGGGAGATGCTCATATCCTGGACGCCATTCTAGATAGGCACACCCTGTCTCTCTGGGCAACCAGAGGTTCCCGACAGCCACTGGCCGAATGGACTTGGGAAGTTGTGAGTAAAGAGACCATTAGCATCTAGCCCTCAGGGAAATATAGCTGAGACAAAGGCAGTGGCTGGTAGAGGCTGGAACTGACATCTGAGTGTAAACCATAATTGCTTGCTGTCGAGGGCTGAGTTTCTTATCAGCTCTAGCAGCCTGTGACTTGCAGAGGAATTTAGCCAGGACAGAAGGCGTGGGGCTGGAACTGAGGGAACATCTCCAGCCAAAATTCTTCCCCTGCTGGACTCAGATGGCCTGGTGACTCTGGCAGTCAGAAACCCTGGGAGCAGTTCCTTACTGGAGTGAACTGGGTTACAGCCCTGTGGGATTACCAGTGACTGGGTGCAAGGTGGGGAAGGAGGTGTCAACCTTCCCAGACTAATTCATTTACTGGGTGGGTCCTTTTGCCCTCATGGAGCACTGGAGCAAGCTATATCTGAGCTGCAAGCAGACCCCTCTTATCTAGGTACTGGAGACATTTGAACTCTCCTACCTGAGACTGGTGCTGACTGGGATAACTGATTTGGATCCCTTGAACTGGGCAAATCACCCAAGGACTATCCAAAGTGGCACCCTGGGTGTATGATTGAGGGAAGGTTTGATTTACCTTGCCCAATTGTTGTTTGTGGGGAGTGGGGCAACTTAATTACTGGTATTTCTCCACAGCTGAGACTTCAACAAAGAGTAACTGAATCACTAGGGTAGGACAGAGACCAGCTGAAAATAAGACAGAGACACTTAGCCCCACCACACCAAGCAGGTCCTCAGTCTCTCAGGCGGTAACACCGTACGGGTCCTTGACAAACCTCAAGGGGAAAAGCCAAATGGAGTAAAATAATCATGGGCAGAATCAGCAGAAAAGCTCTGGTAATATGAATAACCAGAGTAGATCAATACCCCCAAGAAAAGATGTGGCTGGTAATATGAATAACCAGAGTAGGTCACCTCCCCCCAAGAAAGGATGTGGCAGATGAAACTGAAGATCTCCTTTATAAACAGATGGCTGAGATGTCAGAAATCAAATTCAAAATCTGGATTGCAAATAAGATTAATAGAATAGAGGCAAAGATAGAATTAGAAATTCAAGGAGCATTCCAAAAGTTCACTCAAAAATTCAATGATTTCAAAGACAAAACCACCAAAGATTTTGAAACATTGAGGCAAGAGATTGTAGCCCTCAAAGATCTGAAAAATATGGTAGAATCTCTTGGTAATAGAATGCAGCAGACATAAGAAAGGATCTCAGACATGGAAGACAAAGTTTCTGAACGTGCCCAAGTGTCCAAAGAGGAATAGAAATAGAAAGTAAAAAAGGATCATTCTCTCAGAGAGCTCTGGAATAATTTGAAGAAAACTAATATTCGCCTTATAGGAATCCCTGAAGGCGACGAAGTTGCTTCACAAAACATGAAGAGGCTCTTCTTCAAGAAGTTATGAAGGAGAACTTTCCAGATATGCCAAGAGATCCTGAAATTCAGATGGCAGACAGTTTCAGAACCCCAGCACAACTCAACTCGAATAAGACATCCTCCGGACACATCATAATTAAATTCACTAAAGCTAATATGAAAGAGAATATC